CTGCTATATCAATATCTGTATATATCCATAATAGTTTTAATCTGTTTATACCTTAGGCCACACCGACGTAATTTTATGAATGACATCCGTGCGCGCATTGATTTTCGCCTGTTTAAAAAAAAAGATCACGTCCTCCGGGGCTCTGACCTGGCTTTAGGCCTGGGTAGTCCATGGTAGTTAGCGACAATAAGGAGCCGGTGGTAACTCTGGAGGATGGCATCCAGGCTACCGAAGCTCGACGACTCAAGAACTCAGTACATACGTACAGTGCCGATCCATAAATTCCGCAATAAGCCAGCATGGGCCGGCTTGTCGTATACGTCGCTATGTACTGCTGAAAATTCGCAATACCAGCTTTGTATTCCTGTGGTTTAGTATCATTTTAATTTTTTTTATTCGCCCGCGCGCACTAGTTTGGGGGTCTTCAGAGGATGTCATCCATAAAATGTAGGCGGTGTGGTCTGATTAGAACCACTGCATAAAGTTAGCCTGTGTAATTATTCAGCAGATTTGCAGCAACTAATTTCTAGCTTGTTAGTAGATTAACGAAGTTTTTTTTCTTTCTACTTTTTTCCAGATAACATCGTCCACCTCCCAGGTGCTGAAGGGCCTTCCATTGGCTCATACCAGCCTGCAGGGGTTTCCCAATCTGGCATGGCAGGGGCAAAGAGCAGCCAACAGTGCTTGATAGAGTGCAGAAGTGTGAAAGATGGCAGATTGTAATCTTAGAAAGATGTGAAAATCTTGAAATCTTAGAAAATTGAAGATGTAATTACAAGGTGAATCTGGGAAATGAATTGTGTACTGTCCTTCATTGTTTTAAGTAGTGCTGCATACCTAAACCCACATTTAGGTTCAGGTCCGGATTCAAGTCCAGAGGTTTAGGTTCAGTTCCGGACTGGAGTCCAGACCTAAACCCATGGCATATACAAAATTGCATGTTGGCAACCTTGCAATGTTGTCTGGGTGAAACTTTGGCCACATAAGATGGAGGCCGGTACTTGACGATGCCCAAGGCAATGTTTTCTTCATTTTGCAGCAAAGACTTTGCAATCTACGGAAGGTTTTAGGTGGTTAGGAAAGAAAAGGGGTATGTGAAATGGTCTTTTATGGTAATAAGTCCGGACTCGGTTTTTGACTTTTAGGTTTTTTTGGACTTGAACCTAAACATTCTTACAAGTCCGGATCCAAGTCCAGTGAACCGGTATGCAGCACTAGTTTTAAGTCATTCACAGGGTTCTATATTAGTGATGTACTAGGGAGATTGTTTGGGTTCCTTTAGAAGCTTATCAACACTTCTCTATGTGTAGCATAGTCTTTCCAATTTCATCAAATAGATTTTCTCTTTTCTCAGGCTGTCTCCTTTCTGGTGCTGACCACATTCCCAGGTAGTCTAGGCTTTGTAATATGTTATCATATAGATTTTCTTTCCTACCAAGATGGGGACAAGTGTTATCTTACAATGTCTACACCTGTCTGGTGATGACCACATACCCGGGTCCGTCGTTTGCCCCATCCTGACCGCTCGTGTCAGTACCGGAGTTAAACGAACCGCCTCCTCCTCCGCCATTTGGGTTACAGCACTCTCCCCTGCCTCCCCCTGAGTACCCCCCTCCTCCCCCACCTCCTCCACCACCAAACCCTCCAAAACTCCCTCCCCCTCCACCAAACCCACCATCAGCATTAAAACCTGCCCCACGCCCTCCAACCCCGCCATTCACAAACGCCTTCCCACCTTCTCCACCATTCTCACAACTGTTGCCTCCTAACTCTTTAGAACTCCCTCCATCCGTCAGCAGCCCTCCCCCTCCCCCACCCATCCAGTCACCCTTCCATTTTGTCGCTCCCTGTCCATTAGATCCTCCACTACAAGCAGATCCCCCATAAGCCTTGTTACCAGTAGTGGACACAGTCCCGTCACACAGGGAGTTATGGGACTGTAGTCCAGCCCCCGTCCCTCCCCCACCCCCGGCGATAATGAGTGGCGTGTTGTCTCCCCTGGTGACAAACGTACCGCCCCCTCCCCCTACATTCCGGCCAGCCCTGTTCTCAGCACCTTGTCCCACCAGGATCTTCAGACTTTCACCTGCAGTATTAAAAAAAGGAACACCAGATTTTTGTTCAGTTATTATTATCATTGTCCTTCACGTCTTGTATTATGTAACAGGAAAAAGAATAATCATTTTTACAATAATTTTTTGTCTCTCTTATGATCAGTAAAATAGGTGATGAATCCAAATATTTCTTTCTGTGCACTCTATAATGTCAGTGTTATGCATTGTTCTACAGTTTACTTAAATGAGATACAATGTTTACTGATGCACAGTTTAACATCAACATGCCAAGAAAGCGTTAACATGTACTACAGTTGAAATGTCAACCTTTTTTGAGGTTGAATGTTCCCCTCAGTACGGCACCCCGTCCTCGGGCGGACTTCGGGTTGTTCACACCCCACCCTGAAGCAGCACCTGTCAATCAAACATGTCAGTCACCTTTACTACACAGATAAAACAACAACGAGGACTATCAAATGAGACAGCTACTAAGAAAAGATAACAAGGAATCAAATTGGATGCAGACTTAAAATTTTCTTCGTAATTTTAAGATTCTGCCTAATACTAGTAATCATTTTCGGTTGTCATTAAGCACATCATGCTGTATATCGGATATATGGACTAGGAAAAAAACATCCCTACCCGCTGCCTCTATGCTGTACGTTCCCGTCCCCGGTACAGTGAAGTGTTGTATCCCGTCATGTAGCGTCACCAGGTGTTCATGGTCCTGTCCCCTGTAGTGGGTACCCAGGGTAGTGGGGCCCAGACGGCCGCTGGCGCCCAGGGTGGTCAACTTGGCAGGTCCAAACGTACAGGAGGAATCTGAACGGATAGGTCTTGCATTTATTTATGCTGTCCAACGTAAAAAAGCTCATGTCATCATTTGGCAGGTTAGATGTCAGTCACCTTATGCATTTCTCTTCGCTTACATTCTGAGTTTCAATAAAGGTGAAAACATTCAATAAAAATGCAAGTTTGATTGAAAAGAAACTAACGTTAAATGAACTAAAATCATTTCGTGAATGTCATATTGTATTTAAGTACATGTAACTTTGCATTAAACATCAATATCTCAAAGAACGGATACCAGTTACCATGTTCTTCTTTTCATTCCGCGTGTGGATGTCATATATTCAAGTAATTATTTGATGAGGAATTACGTGGAGAGGTTTTTGTCCGTCTGTCTGAGCATGGGTGCCTTCAAAATCGAAAGTTGTATTCTAACTCTTTAATGAAGAGTTTTGTGCAACGAGTGATCACATGAATAGGTCATCAATAACACTGAACAACATACCGACAATGTCACCAAGGAAGATTTCCTTTTCTTTCCTTTCCATTTTGGGATCAAACCTGACGTAACTGATGTCGTCAGGAATGTCCGGGGTTGGACCTTTCAGCAGAGACTCGAGCCGGGCCGTGACGTCAGAGTACACGTTCATGACGTCAAAGTCACTGCCATGCTCCACGACTTTCTGTGAGAACTCCACTGTGCTGGACAGACAGCCTAAGGTGCTCTCAACACTGTCTGCTGTAGCAGAGAGCTGCTTGGAACGGGCTGCTGTGACGGCCGCCAACTTTTCTTTCAGTTCAGCCTGCTTGCGTCTGACAAGGCCAGTGTAGTACTTGATCTCTTCCTCCGCAGCTGCATCGATGTCGTCTGCGGCTTTCTTACTCCTGGTGTCCAGTTCTGCCTCCTTCTTGGCTACGTCCCCTGCAGCGTCTCGGTATTCCTGAATTTTCGGCCTGGCAGCTTCCAGGTTGCCTTTGATCTTTGTCCTGACGTCACTCACAACGTCTGTCAGGTAGTCGTACTTGTGGTCCTTGTGCTGCAGTACCGTGCAGTCTCGGCAGATGGGACTCTGGCACGTCTCACAGTAGAACTTCAGCTTCTCGTCTTCATGTTTTGGACACATCGGCAGTGATCTTGACTTGACCGATGATGTCTTGGTGATCAGTTGCTCTTTTAGCTCTGCCACGCCGATGATTTCATGGTCACGTGTACGTTTTGTGCGACGGTGGCCTCGAGCACATTCGTCACACAAGAACTCTTCACACACAACACAGCCACAAGTAGCCACTTCTTCTTCACACAGATCACAAACTACGTTGTCATCTGTCATACTAGCTACATTCTTGTGAGCGTCGACGGTGTCCCTCAAGCTCAGGACAAAGAAGTTGTTTTTGAGCTCGGCGACACCGCCCTCCGGAAGTACAGTTTCGATCCGACATGTTGGACACGGAAACTTGTCCTTCGCCTCACCTTGTTTCGCTACAAACTTCTCCAGACAGTCCTTACAGAAGGTATGAAGACACGGTAGGATCTTGGGGTCGTTATAGGGCTCCAGGCAGATCGTACACTCCAGAAAGTCGCCGGAAATCTGGCTGAGTACGGCCTCCGCCATGACCGCACCTGTACGCCTCACGTGCCTGCAGTGAGGAGGTGGACTTTGTGCACTTGCCCGGGGTGAAGATAGGTCACCGCCCTGGACCGTTTAACTGTACAAAACTAAGGGTTATGTTTTCTTGCAGGCAAGTATTTAGATGGCCGCTCGGAGGTCATATTGGTTAACTTTGAACTTTTGGGCTGTTATGCCATTACGATGCAACAGAGGTTAACGTAGAATACAATAACATTGATCATGGATATCAGGTTATTCTACTGGCTCGGCCTACCTTTTATATCTATATCTCAGTTTTATGCAAGATTGTTATGTTCTGGGCAGCTCAGCAAAAGGTCAGTGACCTAGCTGGCTGATATAGATATATTAAATAAAGAGGCTCGTTTTGCTCAGCTGAATTTATCGATAATTGCCAATATTAATACTATGAGGACAGGAATACTGTACTAAAAGTTTTTCTGACTATTTTGTCAAAACAAACCTTCCGAATCAATGCCACTAGTTCAGCTGACAACTCTCTCTCAGAATAACAACACAAAAGCATAAATTCAAATCCACCAGTTTTATTGTCCTTCATATTCAAACATACGCAGTCACTCTTTTGCTTCCTGAAATGTATACGTACATGTCCGGACATCGTTGTGAAACGTTATAGATACCTAAATGATTATCCCACATCTCCAAATCTGTTCTGCTACATAATGTAACCCAACACCACAGGGTGTTGCTACACCACAAGCTAAGTTACCATGGTGACAGAGTTCTGCATGGTCCATTTCATTGACTTAATTTGTTTGGAGCATAAGAAGAGGAAGAAGAAGAAACTGAGCAAAAACAATGTGTTTTCCTTGTGTGAAGGTAAACATTATCAAAGAACTTAATCATAACCACCCATGTCTTTATCTAATGAAACTATTTAAGGTCTTCTGCATCGAGATCTGCATCTTGGTCCTCAGCCTCCTGCAGTTCTGTCATTCCTCCGAAACTCGCTTCTCCATCTCAACCTCCAGCAATTCTGCCAGGAAAAAAAAAGAAGAGAGAAGTTAGAGCAGGCGGTCAACGACCTACAATAATACTTTGGAGTGCGTTATTTCACCTTTATGATAAGTTTTAGGCGCAACTTCACAGCTCAAACGTACCTTCGAGCCCGTCTTCTAACTCAGTCAGCAGGCCTTGCAGGTTCTCTCCCCTGCGGGGCAGCCACTGGTCTGGCTGCCTCTTCTCACGGTTCTCCCCAAAGCCGGGTGGCAGGCTTTGCAGGTTCTCTCCCCTGCGGGGCAGCCACTGGCCTGGTGGCTGCCTCTTCTCACGGTTCTCCCCAAAGCCGGGTGGCAGGCTTTGCAGGTCCACCTCACGAGGCTCAGGGACTCGCTTCTCCATCTCAACCTCCAGCAATTCTGCCAGAAAAAAAAAATAAAAATAAAAGTTAGAGCAGGCGTCAAAAGTCCGTCAACGACATACAGCATTTTTTCGAGCACGTTGTGTTACCTTTATGATAAGTTTTAGGCGCAACTACACAGCTCAAACGTACCTTCTAGCCCGTCTTCTAGCTCAGTCAGCAGGCCTTGCAGGTCCTCATGACGAGGCACAGGGATGGCGGTGGCGAGCACCAGGCAGCCCAGGAACGGGAGGCACACGGACAGCTTCATCTTCGAGTGGCCTGTTGAACTCCAAATCTGAAGAAAGAGGATAAACCAAATGGCAAAGTTACCATCGATGTAGTCATTTTCATGCTAGTCGTGCGAGCACTTTGACTTTTTAAAGTATTATATATATATACTATAT